GTTAGTAATTCCCAAGATTTACCTCTCGAAATCCGTGAGCCTGGACGAGTCCCGAAAGCCCTTGGCGAACGGGTTGCTGTCGATTTTCAGCTTGGTGATCTGCAACAGAAAGAGCGGGCGAACGATTCGCGATCAGCGTTCGCGCAAGCCGGCCTTATCGCCGCCGGCGGTGCCGGCCGGGGCTTCGTTCGGGAATTACGTCACCGGAACGGCAACGACGCCCGTCGAAAAACGGCCGGCCGTTTCGAAACGGTTCGTTCCATCGATCGGGAGTCAACGGCTCGTAAAATTAGAAGAAGGCGGGAAAACGATTCGTCGCTGCGGAGTGGGGTTGCCCGAGGGGAGAAGCGGAGTCGACGCGGACGGGAGGGCGATACCTCGTTTACGAGCCATCGAAATCGCCCGTCGATCGCGCTTGAAACCGACGAGGCCGTCGCTCGTTCCGTCGTTCTTTCATTTTCTGCCTCTACCCTCCTCCTGTTCGTTCGTTCGTCGGTTGCCCGCTTTCTAGATCGCTCGATTCTTAACCCTCGCGGTTCCTAGATTCTTTAGGTTCCCCGGTTCTTCCCTTCCTACTTTACTTCTTTCCTTTCCGTCTTCGGTTCCCTCGACGCCGGCAAACACCCGCGGAAATCCTGCCTGAGTCGTCCGCGCGGCCCTGGAAGGGCGTTTCGCGTTACCCGTCGGCCCACCCACGACGCCACGCGTCGCGTCGCGTCGCGTTGCGTTCCGTTGCGACGCGACGCCAAGCGGAGACGACGCGTCGGATGCACAGGTGGCCCCGATCAAACTGGGCGCGTTCAATTAGCCGGGTGTCAAGGCCTTCGACGTCGCTTCCGCAAACCCTCGAGACTCCCAACCCCGTGTTCCGGTGGAACGCGCCGCGCCGAGGGCACTTTTACAGCGGAGCAGCGATACAAGCTAACAGAGCCGACCCTAATCATTAAAATCCTATTATCGAGACTCTCGTTTAACGACGCAATCACGTAGCTGCTGCATCGAACCATTCCGTAAGCATCGCAACTGCTCCAGCAACGCCAACCTCGAGCAACACATGTTTACACCGCGTAGAATGAAAACGCGACTTACATCCCCTCGGAACCTATTTTCCTCATCGATCAACTTCCTAACCTGTCTCTACTCATTGTTCGAAGCTCCGTTCGAACCTCACCATCGCGAAACCGTACACTCCTATAACCAACGGATCCCTCCAGTAAACGCAAACGAAGAAGAGAGACCGACGAGCCGCGACTTCCGGATTCCAAGAGCAACCGGAACGCGTTTCGACGACGATTCGATGATCTCCGGAAGGTCGTTCGTCGCGAGGCGAGTTTATTTGCTCGGCGAAAGGAGCCGCCGCCGCCGCCGCCGCCGTCGCCTTGCTCCTCTGGGAAGCCGGAATGGAGAGGTCAGAGAAGAGGGGAAAAAGAGGGACGACAGAGTCGGTGTCAAGTGGGTGGTCCAATTACCCTACGGTTTCGCGCTCACGAGCAGCACGTGCAGCCTGGTAATAAGACTCTTTCCTTCAAAGCCGGGGCTAAGCCGCGCTAAGCCTGGAGCTGCCTCGGTTTTAGTTACGATTCCGCTGACATCATTAGCCAAACATCTGGCCCACCTCCGCCGTCAGCGTCCTCCGCGTCCTTCCCGTCGTCTAGCTACTTCCACGAGGATCCGTTCCCTTCGATCCCGCTCCGCTCCGTTCTGTTCCGTTGTTCGTGGGTCCCGCGCGACCACCGGTGCCGCGCGTTCCCTCCCTTCGCCCTGCTCCCTTCGTCGCCTTCCGGCTTGGCTCGTTCGCTCGCCTCGTCCGCCGCGTTGGCTCGTTCGCCTGGTCGTTTTACGATCGCTCCCCCGCGCTACCGAGCGAGCGGCAATATCGCGGCCGGCCAGGTCTTTGAAATCGACCCGCGGCCGCGGCTGCGGACGCGAAACTCTCGCTCTTTGATATCGTGCAGCTCGTTTTACCCGGTGCTCGCCGCTCTCCTCGTCGCCTCCTCGCTGTCCCGGACGTTTACGTGTCTATCGGCGTGCTCCGGCCGATTTCGGCCGAACGCGAGGGAGCGGTTCGCGGGGATCCTCGCGGCTGCGATTGTTTCGCACGGTTATGTAAGTAGACGAGCCGTTCGGATCGGATCGAACATCCTCACCGAAGCTTTTCCGTGCTCGATACGGATTTCGAAATCGCTGATGGGAGCATTCTAAATTTCTCGAGCTGCTGTCGTGACCGTCGGAGACAGTGACGTGCAAGCGCAACAGTAGGCGCATAAGTTTCCGCTACTATATACGATAGCAGTACAATAGTATCGCATACCGTAGCACCGCGCATCCTACAACGGGTCGGAAATATTCGGGATGCACACTATTCTTATACTCCGTGAAACAAACGTCGTCTCGTTACTCGCGGGCCGCAATAAAGCTTCTGCCAGCCGCCTCGGGAACACGAGCGAGGAGTCCTTTAGAAATCATTTATCGTTGAGTTTGGGTTCGAGCGAGGAATCGACGAGGTACGCGAACAGCGAAGAAGTTATACGATTTCGTTGACACGGCCCGACCAAACGGTTGGACCACTTCCCAGACCGATTTACAACGTCCACGGTGGACGCGGCGTGTTGCCCGCCGTGATAAATTCGCCCGCGAGCCGCGCGGCGCTCTTCTCTCGGCCGTCCGATGCCAAACCATCGTCGGCAACGAATAAATCGTTCCAGCCGCGCACCGGCCGCGTCCCGCCAGATATTTTACTCCGTATCGCGTGCGCCGCGAATAAAAATGTCCGAGATTTTCGTCGTGCCTCCCCGACGGAGCAGGTTCGTTACCCTCCGCGCGCGGCACGCGGCGACGAAACGATCGCTGCCGATCGCGAACGGGAAAGGGGCTTCCAACCGCGACGCGACGTCGGGAGCTTCGATCGTTCGGAACGTACGCACTGGGAAATTCGAATTGACTCGAGATTCAATGGCCCGAAGGTTTCAGCGTCTGCGGAGGCTCGAGCGTTCGAAGCTTCAAGGTTGAACGCGGAAGCAGCGTCCGAAGTTAGGAGGTGTCTATTAAAAGTGATTCAATTTCGAACGGCTCTAAAAACGTTAGTGGCACTAAAAGAACTTCATCGTCCGTTTTAATTGGGTTGTAATTAATAGCTCGGATAAACGGCGATTCGCGAAGAAACCCCTGAAGCATATTCGCGAGATTCGACCGTGTATCCCGAGGTATAACTCGAAAGACGAAACGACTCGGTCGCTGACTAATGAAAATCTAGATCGCGGAACGCAGTGACTCGTTTAATCGAGATCCCTCCGTGTTTCGAGACGTTCGAATCTCGCTTGAAGCGATTCCGAACGGACCTGGGAGCCTCGGTATCTCGAAATCCGTACCGCCATTGGTGCCGAACCCTACCGGAACTGATTGCAACTCGGCCGGAGCCGGGTCGCTCGGGAAAAACTGCAGCCAGGCTCGTGAAACGTCGGCTCGCCGCGGCTCGAGGGCGCACGCGAGCGCCGCGGCGAGAACGCGATCCAGCGAAAATCCTTCCCTCGGGTCCGTGAAACCGATCTGTCCCGCGAGGGGACCCCGCCCACCGCGTTCGCAAATTCTCTCTCAATTTTCATCGTTCGGCCCGCAGACGGAAGGTAATTGGCTACCTGTCCCGCGGCCGACGAGCTCTCTGCCCGCTGTAGGCCAGCGCGCAGCGCCGCCTTTGTCCGCAGAAAATTAGTTCGTGCCCCGGAAGAACGTTTAAATGAACGTTCAGCGTTCGGTTCCGCGGAAGAGGACGCTTTCGCGTGACGGCCGCAACTAGTGCCGGCACTCGGATCCCAGTTCCGTGGCGATCCGACGCTCTCGAGACGCTCGAAACTCGGAGGAGAGCGTCGCGTGGGACTCGATGCCCTCCAACTGTTGCTCGCGGAATGAAACTTCGGATAATTGAAAGGGATGCTTTCGCACGCGGCCGCCAGCTAATAATAGATTTAATAGAGATGCGTGTGCACATCGGGACGGGGTCCCGCGGTGGCGGGCCACGCACGCTGCGCTCGTGCCGCGATTTAGCGCCCTCCGCGCTGCCGTTGCCGCTGCGACGCTCGCCCGATTTTCACGGGGATCTTCGAAGATTCCGTTCAACCCCTTGTCCCGCGATTCGTTCGGAAACGAAGAAATTCCACGCTCATTCTGCGTCTACGTTCACTGTACCAGAGGCGATTGATAATACAAAGATGACTTCGTTCAGGCTTAACTCTAGGTTTACGGATCCTGTTAACCTCACGGATACTGAACGTTTTCAACGTTACTCCATAACTTTGAGTCGATTTCGATTCGATTACAAATACACATTGTAATACTCTAATTTCCAAGCTACAACCTTCTCGATGTAAACGCATAGCTTCCTACCAATGGAATGAAGTATAAAATAAACGGCCCAGTATTAAATGAATTAACTCTTCACCTGCATCCTAAATTAGAACATTCACCAGTCTAAATATCGAACAATAGATTAACGGAAGACTCTTGGAGCACGTGTGCCAATATCTTCTAGGCTACCGAGGCCTAAACCCAAGACGGATCATCGCGATGCGTCTTGTTTGCAGGTGCGAGCGGTCGACTGCAGCCCTATTAGCGAATAGCAAATTGGCAGCGAAAGCTAGACGAGGAAATGGGGTGTGCAGCGAACGATTCCCTTCGCCTCTATGTTAGGTCGGCGAAGGCTCGAGAGATGCGCCGGTAGGTCAGCGAGCCAAAGAGAAGACCAGCGACCGCTTCGAAGGGTATCATTGTGAACAACACGAAAGCCCCGCAAACGGAAGCGACCGTTCGACTTGTTGGTAACGCGTACTCTCGCGGCTCGGTGCGTGGCTCTCGGAGGGCTCCGTCTCCCTCCCCGCCCTGTTCCTCCCTCGCCGTGGCACCGTGGGCCTCTCCCGCGGCCCTGTCTCATTCGAACGCGATTATTTATGTTTTCTTTCGTTCGTGCGCGCCGACGCCGACGCCGTCGCCCGCAGCCAACTAAAGCCATCGACTCCTTCTTCTTCCTCCGCCTCTTCCTCTTCTCCACCTTCTTTTGCTTCTGCTGCTGCTGCTTCTGCTTCTGCTGCCGTTACCGCTCTGCCGCT